TAAGACTGGTCCTTTCAAACAGCTCACAGTTAAGGAAGCTCTGCTGAATGGTTTGGTGGCCACTCGTGTGGATGTGGTTTTACACCGGTGATCATAGACAAAGGATGCCAAGGAGGCATCCTTGGCTATGATGTTTGAAGACCAGCCTTTAACATCTGATTCTATTTGGTTTACTATTTAAGTGTCCTCAGGCCCTGTGTGATCAGACTACTCTAATAACATAGATCGTTCTAAAAAAAGGACAATGAATCTGCAAAGCACTTCCTAACATGCATAACGTGGAGGACATTGTACTAAGTGAAATTAGTTAATCATGAAAGGACAAAGCGTGTGTACGAGACTACTACTGCAAAGGCTTTCCCAATAAAAGAAACATTTGATGGTTTCTAGGGGTGGGGAGGGTAAGGGAGGGAGGGAAGTCACAGGGTAGAGAGTAGACAATAGCTAAATTTGGTGATGGAGGCAGAAAGTACAAATAGTCTTGACCAGTATTTAATGGGGAAAGAAATTCTATGGTAGGGCAATGTCGGTGGAAATGCAGATGCCTAAAGCAGAATTTGGACACCGTTTCTTTTTTGTAAATAAGCGGGGGTGGGGGGGTGGGGGGGTGCGTTTCTATCCATGTGGTAAGATTTTCAAACCCTTCGAAGTGCAGTTTGCAGTGTCCAAGGTCGCAATGTTAGAAAAATCCACGCCTCTGGGGGCAACTAGGCAGGGTTTGTGATCCAGAACGATAGTGTATGTTTAAACATTTCACAATCTTGCAAAGCAATTTAGACATAAATGCATTCTCTGGGGGGGGTTGGTTTTTACAAAGCTAAAGTTCACGTTTCTCTTTCCTTTTCTCAGACAATACAAGGCATTTCCAATGAACAAGGACTGGTTTCATCATCGAATGAAATCTTGGAAATTCTTTGAAATGAATGGTCTAGAATTTATAAATACAAATATAGTGTAGCTAGTATTTTACTACAAAATTTTATTTATAGATATCCAACCAGAGCCAACTTATTTCTCAACCGGGAACAGAGATTGGCTTAACTGTCCATCAAATATGTTTCCTTATCCTTCGGGGCACAGAATTGGACTGTGATTCCCAACTTCCCTTGCATGCAGTGTGGCTGGTGGAATGTGGTCCTAAATGATAAGAACCACTTCCAAATCTGGCCCATTAAAGCTCGCATGCATCATCCTTCAACTTCTTTAATCCAAGAAGGAAGATGAGGTCCAGTGGAATGGTAGGAACCAATTGTATTTTATATACATAACAAAAAAAGAGCCAGTTTCTCCAATCACTGCGTTGAGAACTCCCCAAATCCTGGTGACATAAAGGCTATGCATTGGAATGTTAACTGCCAGGTCAGCAGTTCAAACCACCAGCTACTCCAAGGGAGAAAGAAGAGATTTTCTACTCCCATAAAGAGTTACAATTGGTTAGCTCTCCTAGTTTAAGAAGCACAGGAGTAGATGCATAGGGATAATAAGCACAGAAGGAGTAGATGCATAGGGATAATAACTGATGCATAAGGGGAGGGGAGAGAATTGGGAGCAAGCAATGAATACAGGAAGGGGGCATTAGAACTGATTATGATTATTTTTATAATCATATAATTATTATATACATCTTTTTAAAAGCCATTTGACTATGAAAGTGTATGAAATGTGAATATTATATCAAGAAAACTATTTTTTAAAAACGATACCAAACCTGACCAATAGTTTCCATGGGTGAAGGAGGAAAAGTTTTTGCTTAGGGGGCATTGAGTTTATGCTAATGGTGGTAGAACCCTTTGGACATCAATAATGGTCATACAACGTGAAGAATATAATCAATGGCACTGAATTATACATGTAGAAGTTGTCAAATTAGAGAATAATAGTGAGTACAAGGAAGAAGAAAATCTTCTAAAATTGTTTGTGGTAATAATTGTACAGCTCTTCTTGATATGACTGAACTATTGAATTTTATGATATGTGGATGAAGTGCCAATACAGCTGTTTAAAAATAATAAAAAGAGTTACGGTCTCAGAAAGTCACAGGGTCCTTATGAGTGTGATTTGATTCTATGGCATTAAGTGATAGGTGGGACCTAAGCAAGAATATCTGCATTAACTCACTGAATGACTGAGAAATAAAAGGTTTTATATTAAGGTACTGAGATTTGGAGGTCTTACCTGATTTAGCAGCTGGCATTACCAATATAGCATCCATATAGCTTAGCCCCAGTTGTCTTCATCTCAGCTCCTTCACTCTTCCCGTCTTTCCTCTTTGTTTTCTTTCCTGCCT